AGCGAGCATAAGGTTTGGCAGTGCTTTGGGCAGTGATGATAGTGGTGGCAAGCAACATTTTTGGTTCTTCTGTAGACTGACCCGTAGTTGCTGTGAAAGGTAAAGATCTCTAACTTTTTGAGTATGAGACTCTTGTAATGCAGGAGGCAAGAGAGACGTATTTTTTGAAATAAAATTTTCCCAGTCTGTCTCTGCGTAGTGCTGGTCCCTGCACTTGATGAGGGCAGGAAAGGAACTGAAACACTACACCCGGCTGAAGGCTTTTGAGTTATGTCCTTGGTTCGCAGTGTAAAACAAATTATTAAGCAGAAAAAAATAATCATAGAAAAAATCCCTTTTACAAGACTATCAGAATGTATAAGAATATGGAATCCATCTATATATTATTACTCACTTACATGTTAGTAAAAAGCACTGAACCAAAGAATCTCTGTAACGCACACAAACTGTGGGAAGAGTTTAGGCATAAAAGAAATACAGCTACTATGCTGGCAGTAGTCATGGATTTCAGGAACACAAGAAAAGCATTAAATATTCTAAGCAAAGCTACATGCTTTAAAAGTACCCAAAACAATAGGTAAAGTATCCATTTCTCAGTCCCTGGAGTTCAGAGAGACAGGGTACTGTGGTGGTTCTGCCTAAATCCTGCCCTGCATTGAAAGCAGATCAGCTAGAGAGCAAATCCTGCTGCTGCTGGGTATGAGTACTTTCTGTGCAGAAGCAAAGCTTTCCCTTCCAAGACTTTACCCCATTGCACTTTGTTCCTGCTGGCAACACATCACAGCCTGTTTTTGTGAGCTTGATAAAGAGGATTTGGCATTGGAGATACATACTGTGTGTGAGATACCAAATGAAAGTAGCAAAGGAATGGATGAAAGCAACCAAGTGTTGCTCAGCCACTCTGTGTATCATCTGAGAAAGACAAGCCAGCTGCAAACAGAAGAGCAAACTCAGAATCTTGGGGTAGCAGCAATTAATTCAATGAACTAAAACACACTGTGATTCGCTCTTATGAGGCAGAGTTCCTTCAAAGGCAAACAATTGCCCTCCTAATATTGAATCAAATATTTTCGAATATGTCACCTTAATAAAAGCTGTGGGACCATTTCTCTTTCAGAACACATCAGGTTACAGCAATGCAGGAAGAGAAGTGAAAATGGTTTATGATAGGTAGCATCAAAGCAGTGCAGGACAAACTAGCTCAAATACCCAATCTGAGGTAGGAAAAACAACAAGTTTGCATTGATGTGGCATAAACACATGATCTTAAATAGATATGGCCAAGGCTCAAAAAAAAGCTGCAAAAATAGTTAGCTTAGTTCACATGTCAGTTCTTCCACAGACCATAAATAAGCTTCAAAGAGTTATAAAACCAGGCAGTAGACACCAAATGCATGCAATCTTGGAGTAGTGCTAGTAAAAGTACATCACCACCTCTCTGCTGCACAGAAAAATTAGGTAAATACTTCATTCATACATACATACACACATTGCATGCACACATTCACTTCAGAGCATTTCTATAGTTTATTAGGTACTGGCACTAAATAAAGTTTTGTAAACATTTTCATTTCGTGATTGTTAGTGGTAAAGAGAATATTTGTGGTGCATGGTCACTACGCAAATGGAATGAAAATACTTTTACAGGGAATATAAACAGTTTTATGGAGTATCAGAGAGCAAGAGGAAGCTGCAAATATAGAGCACCAGCAGCTGTTCTGGGGCAAGGCAGCTGCTCTAGATCCATCTAGTAGCAAACTATTTGGGCAAACAAGTGGGTGGGGGACTGTGTAATGGAATATAGCAACTTTTAAAGTGATATAACTCCTAAATGGATGAGAGGACTTCTTTCTCTCTCTTTTTTTAATTATTTTTAATAAGAATTGGGAAAGTGGCCCAAAACTGTTCCTGGATAATAAGTTGAAAAAAATACTGGGTTTATTTCTGTGTTATTGACACCCTTTCTCAATCCATTTTCCATGATTATTCTGTTTAATGGTAGGAAAGCTTGAAAAAACAGACACCAGAGCTGGTGCAAGAACATATGGCATTTCCACATTATATATTTTTATAAGATCCAAATCCTTAGAGATTTATTTGTTCTGCCGCAGATAAATAATAAGAACACTGGAAAGCTATGCAAGCAGGCAAATTTATTATGAGCACTGAAGATATGTTTGCAGAAAGCTTTCAGCAAATACCTGGGAAAGCAAATATGCTGTAGATCAGCTGTGTTGGCTTGTGGGAAATTTATAAATTTAAAAAATAGATAATATTGATAAAATTTCTTACTCAGCTCCAGTCCAATGAATACACTAGACTGTTATGATGCAGCCAGGGCTGCTCATTCAGCAAACAATTTCTTCTCTTGAGGTTGCTAGAGTGACAATTGGTGTCCAACAGTATATTTTTGTGGTAACTAATGGCTACAGGTTTCTTCCATCCTCAGAAATGTTTTCTGGGTGCAAGCACCAATCCCACTGTGTATGTTGGCATGAGCTGGTATTTCACCCTGCGTGCTGGGCACTGTCTGTGTGCCTCTGTTCAGAGGAAAGGACTTCAGTTGCTGTAAGCTCTGTGGCCTCTCCTCACCCATGAGTTTTCACAAATGCTTCTGTTTTGCCTAGCAGTAGATTTCTTTCCGTGACAACCAGAAGTAAATAGGTTATATGTTCTCCAGACAGCTGCTGTCACTTATTGTGGAATACAAACCCAGCAGCATCAAAGCTTCCCTTCAAGTAACATAACTACACTAGCTGGAAGGAAAATTGATTTTTAACTTCAGCTAGCTGAAGGGAATGGACTCAACAATGACATTTTCTGGTTCCTGCAGCACACCCGCACAGTTCAGCTGGCCCTTTTAGCTTGGGTGAAAGAAGTGCTGCACTCTCAGGCTAGCCTGTCCTAAGTACAGCTGATCCAGAGGATCTCTCATAATGACTGTGAGAGAAAAATATGCCTTTGATCCATCCTCATTGCCAGATCTCTGTGAGCTGAAGCTTTTATCCAGCTGGGAGTCTACCTTATTTTTTGACAAGACAGAGAGAGGCTGGTGGTTCTAATTCATGGCAGCAGCCACTTTTACAGCAAAACCATCTTCGTTTCTTTCTTGTACTTACATTGTTGGTATGGTTTTAATACAGTACATTTGTAATTGTGATAAATTATCTCTATGCATGAGATGGCCCTTTGGTAATTCCTTGGAGACAGCCTTGCAAAGAACTCAGAATTCATAACTGTCATCAACAAAAAACAGAAACAGTCCCTTCCATCATTTGTTCATCTGAATCTTGTGTAACAAATGGCCACCATGCTCCATGATATCCCTGATTATCAGCCATATCCCTGGTATCAGCTGATATCCCTGGTTATCAGCCAGATTTCTGCCAAACCTTGTATTGTTATCCTTGGCCCATTAGCCTGGAGATACTAAGCTCAAGCATTGCAGTACAGTTCCTGCTGTATTCCAGTTGGCGAACAGTGATTCATTCTACCATTTCTCTCAGGAAGAACAGATCAGCTATGGACATCATTTACAAAACCTAATGAACTGCAGGCCTGGCTTCTTAGTCTGAAGCATTAATTACTTCTTTTTAATCACCTGTTTCTCAGTAATCAACAGATTTCTTGACAATTGGTATGGAGTAGCAGCACAGACAGACTTAGGGAATCTGCACCATAAAAGCATCCTTGTGCTGTACTTTCATAGCTGTCTTTTGCTCTTGTTTAAAAGAACATAACTATCAATAATGTTTTTTTCAGTACATGTGTATATAATAATGTATATGAGGCCAACATTATGGTGTTCACTGTGGAAATAATGCAGTCATACAAAAGACATATTCCTCAAAATAAAACCTAAGATAAATAAAGGAAGCTATAAAATGCTCTGTTGGGCCCGCTTCTGGACCTATTTAAAGTCAATGGCGAAGTTCCCACTGACCTTGAGCAGGAACTAGCTCCTTTTTCTCTTTCTAGATTTGTTTAGAAAGAAATATCACGACAGACTTGAAAGGTAAGATGAAATATTTGGGGAGAGGGAGAGAAAGAAGAAAAAAAGAAAAAGAAATCAAAGCGGGACAAAGGAAAAGAAAAATCTGTATTTTTAACACTGCATAAGATGTAACAAGAATTGCTAAGGGTGGATTTTTTTCAGATTTTCCGTGTTCTGGTTTTGCCAGTATACTTTAATATTTTACTGCTTGCATTTCTCTCCTGCTCTTTCCACCCTCTTCTCTGTGGGCACTTCTACTGGCCCCAAAATGCATGTGGTGCTTCACAAAACTAAAAATGTGTTTGCCATTAAATATAATGTGTAAAATCTTACAATGCTTTCAGAAAAATAACGCTCACATATCCAAAATGAGGGGAAAATGGTACCTAATCACACATATAATTCCCAACATTTATTTCACCGGTAATGAATGCTGTCAGGTTTTTCCTACGTTGAACAGCCATACCTGAGGGGCGCAGCGTTAAAGGGCACATTCACCGCTGACATAAATGGCAACTACGGCCACTTCAGTGAAGTTATCTCCAATTAAGCCAGCCATTACATTCACTTCAAGGTATGCAATACATTTTAAACGATAGAAGCAAGTCCAGGAAATGCTGAGTACTTCTACGAACCCTCTTTGGTGTGTGACTCCCCCTGGACTCAGGCTCCTTTCCTAAATCCAGTGGTTTTGTGGTAAGTGCCGCCTGAGCAAAACACGGCGATGGTCAGCGCTGTGTCCTGTTTACCGTCGCAATTAACAAAGCGGCATTCAGCGAGAGACACCAAAGAGCCTGCTGCACTTAAAGGGCTAAGGAGAGGTGATAACAGCCTTCGTTTCGTTAAGGCTCGCTGCCCAACTTTACTGAAAATGTAGTGACAGATAAAACATAAATCAACATCCTTATCATTCTGGCTTCCTTGCCTGCCAAATGGGGGTTTAGATTATCAGCGACCTGCAGGCCCACTGGCGGCCTTTACACTTACAGCTGGTCAGCGGGGTGGGACAGGGTGGGAGCTAAATGGCTGCTCTAAAACGCCTTGCTGTAAACAACCCGGGGAAGGACTTCCTTGAACTGCCAGTTACCTGAGTGTGATCCATCTCACTAAAGCGTCTGCCCCAAGAGAGGTGGTATCACCAGGAAAGAAAACAAATAAAAGACACCCAGCATGTAGCAGCACAGGCACAGGCTGGGGAATGCTGTCCCCTTGAGGGGGTGAGGGATCCTCAACAAGGTAAGCTCCTTATGGCATTGCTCAGGAAGCAGGCAAGTATTTTGGGAAAAAAGGGACTTCATCAGCACAGCCTGCTTCCTCCATTTTGTTGCCAGAATGTACAGCCTTTACACACACACATATATATATATATATGCATACATAATGTACAGTGTTTGCTTTGACACCTTGTGAGCCTCATCATGGGAGCTATCCTTCCAAAGGCACCAGCATCCCCCAAGGCTCAGGAGAGGACTGTATCAAGGGCATATTCACTCCTCTCCCCCCACCCCCCCAAAGCCAGCAGGCTTCTTTCCCTGTTTTACACATAGGTTTCTATATGTGTAGGGATTTTAAAAGTATTTGTCCCAATTCATTGTGCCACAGTTACATTTGCATTAAGTTCAGCTCATAAAACAAAACCCATTTCAACTGGGCCTCGCTCTTGTGGAGACTATGAGTTTGGATAAGGGAGCCCCCAGTTTCTGCTAGTTATAGGACTACACCGGCATAATCAGCCTCATGCAAACACTTGGTGAGGATGAAATTAGCATTTAGATCAGTGATTTATTTCTCCCTTGAGATACACTGCAGCAAGTAATTTCTTAGGAGTTTAAAGTGAGGCAACTGTAGTGGTGGGTTTATGTCATTATCAAAGGAGTGTCAAATGCAGGTAGGTTTGACAGACATTAGCACAAGACTTGTGGGTTTTTTGTAACTAAACTTAAATTTATTTTTTAAATGTTCATTTTTTTTCCTGTCCTTTAGCTATAGTGAGTCAAGCTATAGCATTTAATTTAGACAACAAACTATTCCATATTTCTTTGGGTTTTGAAAACTCCATCTTCTAGCAACAACTCAATGGAAAATCATGCGCTGAACACAAGCAAATTGCAAGTGGAAAATGAAGACACAACGTTGCACCCATACTGTTGTGCAAAAAAAATGCAAATGTACACACTGAACAGTGTTATATGTATTGGAGCCAAACCTTCTGGGGAAAAAAAAAAGGATATTTTATGATGGAAGTTTTGACTGCTAACTTTTTTTCACAAAGAAACATTTCTAAATGTGTTTCAAATACCTGGGATATAGAGAAAGATATTATCTTCTTTGTGTACTTGTTTGTTTAGCAGTGTACTTTGACAAGGTTACCAAATCAACAGCAACATACCTACACCTATATTTAACCAAAAGTCTTCACAAAAGCTCATGTACATGCTTGGAGTGTACATACAAGTATGAGTTAGTTCCCAAGAAGTCTGTCAGAAGAGCATGTTGCAATCTAGAGCTACAAGGAGCTGAACAAGGAGTTTTTTGAAGGAACAGATAGCAAGAAAGAGGTCTCTGGAAAGGACAGAGATCAGAGCAAAGCCCTTCCACTCTCAGGGCACTCCAGGCAGAGAGGCAATGGAGTAAAAGAAATGGCCTGCATAGCCAGGACAAGTAGAAGGCATATTTGGAAATGCAGCAAGTTTATAGGAGTTGCAAAGATGAGAGAGGGCGGGAAAGAGGGTGAGAAGGGAACCAAAGCCAGAAACCAAAGTTGAAATCAAAGAAAAAGAGAAGGGCCAAAGCCAGAGTGTATGAAAGGATGAATGCAAGATACAAGTGCAGGTAGAGGGAGAGTGCCATTGTAGGGATACCAAGGGAAGAAATGAAAACAGAACAGAACCAGAACAGAAAGTTGGAAATGTTGGTGAATTTTCTACTTTAGTTAAAAGTTTCCAAACTACCTCTGCTATAAGATGTGAATTGTACTTGTAAAAATGACTGGCTTTCCTCTAGTTGCTGAAAATAGCCTTAGAAATGGAAATCACTTACTACTACAGCTACCAATTGCTATGTGGCCAGCTGTTAATTTGCTCAAACACAGCACAAACTAGGTTTGGAAAAACAATCTGCCTATGATATCTGTTGGTGTCTTGCATCATTCCACATGATGGAATTGACTCTAAGATGGGTTTTTAAAGTTATTTTAAATTTTAAAAAAAGCAAAAGAAGTCAAAATATATTTTAGATGTGACCACCCGATGTCATGAATCTCTAGTGTCCAGATTGTCCAGGTGACTTGAATTCTCACTCATTCACATGTTTCATGAGAACATGTCCCTATCACTTTTTTCCTCTACAGCTTATTCATACATGCAAGAAGTCTAAGGTAGGACCATATTGTGTTCCAGGAGCTACAGATCACACATTCAGGAAGAGGCTGTGCTACTAGCCAGAAAATTTTCTTCCTAATGGAGGCCCAGCTAACCACAAGATCTTCTGCAGACCACAGACCAATCACCACTAAAGACAGCCCACTAGGTTGGAATGCAGACCACAGTCTGGAAACCACTGGCTTACGAAATAAACAAGATAATATTTTAACCTATGCTGTCAAACACGCTTTTCTTGGAGGACAGTCAAGGCTGTGTAAGAAATGGGGTCATGTCTATAGGATTGTCCCAGAAGCTCAGTGATAATACAGTGAACCATGTTCTTCCAGAAATGGTCACAAACATAGACAACTGAAAGAGAATGGTAGTTTTTCATCTACAAAACCTGCAAAGGTAATTCAGATGTCAACGCCAGAACTCTGGAGTTTTGCATCATCAAAACCTTCATTAAAAACTAAAATGTATGTCAATGTATGATAGCCAGCACCACAAAGTATGATGTCACTTCACACATGAAAATGTGTCTCCGGATGTGTCAGAGTCAGGACCAGTACCAAGTTAATATTCATCATGCATCTAAGCATGAGAAATTAGTGCCTAATATTTCAATATCATGAGTTTGATGTGAACTTTTTGACATTAAAGGTAAGGAAAGAAAAGGTTATTATAGAAAATTGAGACATTTCCTGATGAAGCCAGAATTACACAATTTTCAAAGATAATATTTAACCTTTGGAAAGGCCAAAATTCTTTGGACTGACGCAGAAGTTTGAAGACAGATCTTGCCAAATGTAGAGTAATTTTGAAGAATTACTCTTTTTCACAATGCTAATACAAAAATCCTTGGACATAAAACTGAGAATTCTGGAACAGGAAGGAGAAAAAACAGTCTATTTAGAAGCCATTTGTCTGAATTTTGTAACGTCCACTGACAATAACATATTTTCATCCCTGACTGAATTTTACAAGTTCATTTCTTCATGCACAGAAACCAGTATACTTAGCCTCTCAAAATACCTGTTTTAAAAGTGGATAGTGATTGCTTGCTTCTATATTTTATAAAAGAAAGTAAAAGAAAAAGAAGGACACTGAGAAATAATGCAACCATATACACATAGGGCCACATGTATAAACCTGTTCATACACCTACATTAAAACTGATTAACACAATTGTGAAGTGGAATTAACAATGGAGTTTTTCCCTTTCTACAATACCTCACTTTTAGTATAAGGAATTCCATATATATTTGCTTCTGCAGATGGCAAATATGCTTACTCTGAAACAGAACTTCTATGTAGAGTTTCTGTTCATAGGAACATTGAACACAAATAATACTCTTATTTAACTGAATAAGTTCTTTTTAGTCTTATTGCTGCTGAATGATTAAACTATGACAAAAGCTAAAGCACTACACAGCCGTAATGCAAAATCAAATTCTGCACTGTAAACTACAAAAACTTGAGATTTTCTAGGATGCTTGCATTCAGGACATGTTGAGGAAAATTCCACAAAAATGAAGAATGTCATATTAGCAAAGAAAAAAGGAGAGAAACAGGGAGGAAGGAAACAGCAAATACTGAGAACACAACATCCGTAAAATGCTTCAACAATTCCAAGCTTGGAATGGGCTGTCACTGCACACGCAATGAGGAAATTTCATTTAAAAGTTACAAAAATGACCTTGCTTTGAACCAAGTGAATGTGATTATTTCTGAGCTGAATGGAAAGTAAAGAAGTTTGGATTAAATGTTTTACCAGTGCCAATGTCCCAGAACTTTCTTTGGCTCTATATTCTCTTTTCCTATGTTTGTCAGCTGAATTTTATGTTCTCTTCTTTTTGTCTCCTGGTCTCTTTGACCTTAATGTGACATTTTAGTTGGGTGATTAATTACTATTAAATGGCACTGCATTTATTAAATGGAGTCCTTGTCTCTGTAAGAGCACAGTCACAATGCAACGATTCAGTTTGATAAGCTTAAATATACACAGTTAGATGTGGTAATATCTAATTTGTCAAGGATCTTGTGGCTAGCTTTTCTGCCACACAGCTAGAGAGGAGATGTGATTGCACAAAAAGCTTAATATTCTGAGCTTAAATGTTCTCAGTAAATTGATCTTCTCCATCATGTAATCTTATTTCAGAGTGTGCAGGAGACAGCAAAGTTCCACACAAGCCTAAGTTGCCTTAATAGCAGGCCTGAGGGTTCCTGACCATCGAAATAAAAGCTATGTGACAAGATTTGTATGTCTCCTTTCAGCAGACAACAGCTGACTCGCCTTGCCAGAAGCTTTGTTTCTGGGTTAATTGAATAAAAAGAAGAACTAATGTCAGTAAAAGGATGAAAAGTTCATTGAGAAAGAAAAGATATATCTATAGTTTGGACACCTAAGTCAGAAAGAGATTGCGAATATTTAGCTTAGTAGGTGAAACTCCAGCACCTAACCTTAGATTACAAGGTTATTACAAGCCAGGTTATTATTCTGTCAGTTATATGCTCTGAAACTGCTTTACTCTGAACACTGCTTTACTCTTTGCTTATCTAATAGCTGATTTGGAAATTTCTTTCAGACTACAATGAATCATCAAAGCAAAACTTCTTGCAAGCAAGAGACTGGTTTTAACATCTGCTGGGGAAAAAAAAGGCTGGACAAAATAAACATGTGAGGGAGACTTTCACAAAAAAGCTCATGAGTTTTGGGTATTCATGGGAAAGACAGACAGCAGCTGGGGCTAGTTCCTGCCTGTTTCTTATATCAATTCTTTTCCCCTCTGGTTAAACACAACTAGGCCAGCAAAAAGAACAACAGAAGTTTTTCTCAGGTTTCACTCTCAGTCCTCATGTCTTCCAAAACACTCATTTTTGCTCCTACATCTGCAGAGTCAGTGCCTGTCTTTATAACTCTTTCCTACAACACAAAAAACAACTAGAAATTAAAATAAAAAGGTCAAACAGATCAGGTTATCATAAGAAATGAGGCCTTCAGTCTTATCTCAAGCCTGCAGGAACTTTCTCACAGTGAAAATTGTAAATGCTGTAAGAGGGAGTCACGCCTCTCATCTGAATTTAGGGTTTTACAGAGATCTTGTAGAGATATTGTGCAATTGTGAGTAATGTTTGGGCATGCATCTTCAGACCTTCTTTAGATCTGAGATGAATACCTTCATATCAACCACAGTGGGAATCCAGATGCAGACCTTCACCAGAGACATATTTACACGTGGTCAGGAAACAGCTCCCACCTTTCTGCTGGAAAAGTGAACCATGAAACTGTAATTTAGAGGCCTCCTCTTTGCATGATGAAGAGTCAAGCCGAACTCCATGCACAAGGAGTTGTTTGAGCTTGTGTTCTGCAGGTTGGCAGACACTCTGCCATCTGGAGACACTGAAATAACCCTTCCTTCAGGCCAAACATCAGTAGTAAAGTGAATCTAAATGAACCAAGAAAGGCCATAATCTTGACTACCTCTAACAGGATTATATTGTTGTCTTGACTACTGATGACAGTCTAATGATAAGATTGCACAAGAAAAACATTCTTACCATTCTCATTAAGGATTAAGTCAGCACATTCCCAGTTGCTCCTGAAGAGGTTTGTTCATCTCCATCTTCCATTATCAGCAGCAGGAAAAGAGGCACTTTCATATTGTCCAGAATCTTATGAGTGCAGGATTACAGGCAGGAAGATGCACTAGGTGTGTGCTTTAGCATACTCAAAATATAAATCTCTTCAATGTTCTGGATGCTAGAGATATGTCAGGCGCTTCTTCCTGAATACTTTGTAGAAATTATATCCAACTACAAAAAATGCCCTTTTAGTCTGGGCGTAGAACCTGCTTTAAAAGCATTCGATTCCTACCTACCTTGCAGAAATATATTTGTATTGGTCTAATTTGCTTTTTTTAGGAAACAAAACACAAATATTTAGCAGTCTGTCCCCATGATTTTCAGAAAA